CACCCGGGTGACAGACCCCGCTGCAGCCAGCAGTAGCTCGTCCTCCAGTTTTCCAGGGGTGGTTAGTCCTACCCGACCTTCTGTAGCAATGTCTCCAAGTGCTGTCGGTGCCAACGAGGTGTTTTTCGAGACTGGAGGTGCGGCCGTGACGCTAACCCCGGACACCCCTCAGCCTCCCTCGCTCACCGGCCACCAGCCCTGCTCCCGTGTCAGGTCCACGCCCGCCGCACCGAGCCCGGTCACGGCCGTTAATTCTCTGGATTCACGCCAGAGGTAAGCATGTTAATCGGTTTCTCAGCATGGGCTAAACAGAACACTGACTTCCGCGTAAGGTGAACTCGGCAGACGCCACCAGAGGAATCCACTTTCATTTCATAGTAGCTCATGTTCTAGCACTTGGTTGTAACAGCTCTATGTTAGGAATAGTATTTTACACATTCTGCTGTTTACTGTGTTGTTGTTTCCGGGTTTCCAGGTTTGCTTTAAATGAAGACATAACTCTTGTAGATTCATTGTTTGGACAAAACGTCTAAGGAGTCTTTGCCCTCTTGTTTAAGGAGGGTTCGATTTGACCTTCTACCTCAAAACCTGCGATGCATAGTTTTAGTGAACCATTGTCATGTGACGGTGTTTGGTTTGGCTGACGTTATGTCAGCGTTCATAGGATGTTCTTTGTGTCTTTCTTCTTCTAAAATCAGGCAGAGGAATGTGTCTGGTTCTCCTGGACCCAAGGTGCCAAAGAGAGTCCACTTCATCAAGACTATGAAGCAGTATGATACCAAAGGTTGCAGGTGAGTCTCCACAAAGCATTTACACAAGCAAATGCTTGTACATGCAAAATACAGCTGATGAATGTATGAATAAACCTGGCTTACCACACTAGTACAAGCTCCTTAACTCTGGCTCAGACACCTAGTTTGGCCTGCAGATGAGTGACAGCGGTGCGGCTGTTGAATAGTGGTTGCTACAGTGAGTTTAGCCATCCATCCCTGGAAGCTTAGCAAAAGCCAAATGAAGTGCAGTGAGGAAATGTAACACTTTATGGCACCAACAGTGAGGTCACCTCAGTGCAGGGCGCGACTGAAATATCACTCTGTTTGTTAACCTGGCTGGCCAGAGTTAGAAAACAACAGTGTGGTCATGTGCAGTATTTGTTTACTTTTCATAAAATAAAACCCACTTTGCCTGTAGAGTCACAACACAGTGTTTTTCCATTAGCCAAGGGGTTTTTGACTTTTTCTTTTTACTTTCATTTCACCGTCTGAGATGACTTTCTATTCATGCCCATCTTCATCCTAACGTATCGTGTGTTTTGTGATGGTGTTTCCAAGACAGTGATGAGGCTATCCTAAACAGCCCTGCAGGTCTGTCAGGTCTTTCTGCTACTGTCTGACAGAGTCACACGTTGCATGTTTGAAGCAAAGCTATCTAGGTTGTGTGACCGAGATCATAAACACCAGTAGACTGTGCTGCGACGCCGTCCCCCGTAAGAGATTTGATATCTCGTCATCAAGGTCTGTCCTGGGTGTTTACTGCCGGGCTGCACTGGTCGAGACTGCTGACTGTATGTTATTAATTGTTATTTTGTCAGGAGCTGAAGCCCCAGGTGTTTGTGCAGTTTTCATAGTCTCAAAATGTTGGTTTCTGATTGTGGTGGTGCTCAGCAGCCTGCGATTAGGTAGTTTGTCCACGTTTTTGTCAGACCTAGTGAAAAGTGTAGCGTGCTGGTTGGTTGCTTAACACTGGTTTTGTCTAGTCCAGTTCTAAGGCCCAGTTTGTGCCTCACATGCATTAACATTACATTTTAGTCACAGAGAAAAGAAAATCTAATTTGTCTACTAATACATAACCAACTATCTTTGAAAAAACCACTGGACTTTATTGGTCCTCATGGGGAAATTCAAACATCCTCTAGCTCCACACAGATCTCAAAATAAACATAGACATAAAAGACATTATAAAATCTAATACCACATAACATTCTTAAAAATGCACCAGACACTGTTATTGCACAGCCCAATATTAATAAAAATGGAGCTACCCAGACATGCAGCCTTTATGCACAGCACAGTTAGAATATTGAGCACGGTGGAGGTTTGTGCTCTCTGAGCTCTGTCTAGTTTATTTTATTTTTTCAAAGGTTGCTGGTTATAATTTTATTGAAGTCAAACACTTATCTTTAGAGCTGCAACCCTAGAAAATCAGAATTTTCATTATGGATCATGTTCTTATATTTATGCTTTTTGTTTCATCAATGTCACAAAATAGTGAAAAATGTCTGTTAGAGTTCAAAGTGACACTTATTTTATTATCTGGTCCAGTTAATTGTTATAGAAATTGAAGAAAATCACAATTTGGATTAAATGTTGGCATTTTTGCTTGAAAATAATTTGAATAATTCATTCATGCTGATTTTTTTACTGGTCAGTTTATTCATTTTTACTTGTTTCTGTGACTTAAATGTGAAGCTGGTACACGAGAGCTGCAGGCTGTGGCTCATCACGCTCTCAGATGATCCTGCTTTAAGGTTTAGGTTGTTGACAGCTGGTTAGCTTTGGTCGTGATCAGCACAGAAGAGGCTCTGACTCGCCGTCACTGCAGCTCCAGCGCCGATGACTGTTGTGGTTGTGTGTACTGTACAGTATCTGCTGAGCAGCAGTGACAGCCGTGGTTGGTTGTAGACTGACACACCATCTGTTCTGTCTACCTGTACTTCCTGTGTCCTGCAGGATCATGCTGATTTGTGCCAAGCGGTCGCTATATGCTGCTTTCTCAGTGCTGCCCTATGGAGAGAGTGCTCACCTCAGGTACAAAGCACCGTCCCAAGCAGAGAGCACTCACCCCTTGCTTTTTTGTTTTCGTCGTCCGAGCACTCACCCCTTGCTTTTTTGTTTTTGTCGTCCTGTGTGATCCATGTCATTCACAGGAGAAAGCCCTGTGTGCCCTTTATGTGGTGAAATGACATGAATGCAACTCTTTCTGAACAGTGATCCTAAGCTGGAGGCTCAGAGACAAAGGCTGTCATCTGCGGTGGCTGCAGACCTGCTTCCTTCCCTGGAAGGTGTCGAACTGGGCGCCTATGGCAAGGTACTGTCTGTCACGTGTAGTGCTATGATGAGAAACACAAAGATCTGCCTCTTCTGAAGGTCTTTGACCGTCTCCTGTTTCCTCTCCAGACGGTGTCATACGCTCAGTTCCTTTATCCAACCAATGCCCTGGTGAGGGAGACAAGTGGCGGTGTGCTGGAGATCTGCACAGCTCAGCCTCCTCCGGCACGTTTCCGTGGCAACGGGCAGAGGAACTTCCCCCCTGGTCGTTTGAACAGCAGCGTGGCACAGGACCCATGTACGATTCCAGTTAAATCTTAAGGGCACGCAGCTGCTGCTTCACTAACTAACCTCACATGTGATGACACTGTGTTTATTTTGTTTTTTAGATACGGAGGAGATGGCAGAGTATGACCCTAACCTGCTCAGTGACCCTCAGTGGCCCTGTGGGAGACACAAGAGAGTTCTAATATTCGCCTCATATGTGGTGAGAATCTGTTTTCGTTCAGCGTGTTTACATCAGTGTTGATTTTGTGAAAACTGTGATGAAAAATATTTGTTGACACAAAAATGAAGCTAAAACATGATAAGGAGAGTTATGATGGAACGCTTTACATCGTTTGTCAAAGAATAAAAAGTAAAGGATAATGTGAAAGACGGACGAAGTAACTTGACAACATCGGGGATTTTACAACCCATAGCTTATGATTAGTAAAACAGTTTGCTCCACCCTGCAAAATATCTCATGTTCAGGAGTTAATTGCTTGGTGTGTTACCATCTTACATTTGGTAACCTTCTGCCTCTGTCATCTGGCGTTAGCGCTTCTTGGAAGAAACAGGTTTATGAACCAAATTCATCTACAATCCAGAGAATTATACACAAAAACAGCTGGGACAGACTAAGAAAGTTCAGCTGCAAACCATATAAAACAGCAGGATCATTTAACATGAAACACTGTGGATATAGATCTAGTAACGTTAACGTCCCTTTCAGTCGGATATCTTTTGTGTTGCTATCACAAGAAACGAGCCAGTTCCAGGACTGATGTGGGCAGTCAACAGTAAATATTTCTCCAAATGTTCACAGCAGAGATCTCATTGTTTCAAAGTTATCTGGCAATTTAACATCACCTCTCAAGCTGAACCCAGTGAAGAGGAGTCCACCCTCTGCAGAGCACAGGGACACTGTGTGGATAAATAAATACTGTTTGGGATAGATGGGAACAACACGTGTAACCATGGTAATTGTGCACAACAAAGATGAAGATGTACAGTAAAAATGATAAATGCAGGATAAATATGATAAAAACCAGGAGTGTATTTAGTTTTTATTGACTAAAACTAAGTTCAGTAAACAAAAATAAAAGTAAATACCACCATTTTCCTTTAAAACATCACTTCAGCTACAATTGCACACAGTTTTTCAAGGTTTTTGGCAGGTGGGTTGTTCCCAGCATCTTGGAGAACCTGCCACAGTTCAGACCTGGAGCAGACCCCGTCACTGCTGCCGTCTGTTGTGGCTAAGAAGCTCATTGTTTCAGAGCAGTTGAGTGAATGAAAGTTTGTTCATTTATTTGTCTGACTAGCACATTGTTTTGTCACTGCTCCAGTCAAGATTCCAAAACAAGTCAGAAACTGACCCTCTGCATGTATACATGTCTTCACGGTAACCAGCGGACGTAATCGTGTTCCCAGATTACCTGTGTCACCTGATTATGTTTCACGTGGACCAATATCAGGCACGGGCCTGTTTCATTTGACTTGTGATATTGTTCTGAGACTCTTCTCCACTTCTGAACCAAACTCCAGCTCCACTTGAGAGTAAAATGCATCCACCATGTCAAGTCAAATGATTTGATGACTGCTCAGTAGACCATGTGACAAGACTGTAAGGTCTAGCAGCAGTGTGTGTGACAATCTGTAAAACTTTGTTGTGCTGGAGTTCTGCTGACGTGAGGCACCTCTGTACTGATACGCTGGTTTGTTTTTCTATCTCTGCAGACGACTGTTATTGAGTATGTGAAACCATCTGACCTGAAGAAGGACATGAATGAGACTTTCAAGGAGAAGTTTCCTCACATTAAGCTGACGCTGAGCAAAATAAGAAGGTACAGTTCCTCTGCAGACAAGTCACAGTGTCAGAAACTATCCTAGGATCAGAAAATGTGACTTCTCCCCTCTTCTGCCCCAGCCTGAAGAGGGAGATGCGGGCCATGAGCGAGGAGTGTGGGCTCCAGCCGGTCACCATATCAATGGCTTATGTTTACTTTGAGAAGCTGGTGCTGCAGGGTCGCCTCAACAAGCAGAACAGGAAGCTGGTGGCAGCAGCGTGTGTGCTGCTGGCTGCAAAGATCAGCAGTGATCTGCGGAAGCCAGAAGTCAAACAGCTCATTGATGTGAGTAAAGTTTCCAGACACAGAGATAACATCAGTAAAGTGAGCAGAAACATGAAACGGATTAGGACGTGTTGGCTTGTAACCCGTCGTGCTTCAGAAATGTTGACAAAGTAGAAAGACCTGTACTACGTGTAGTATTACAGTAGCTCTGTGTTGTTTACAAAGCAGTATCACCCCAACACCTCATGTTCTTCAGGATTAGAAAGAGCAACATGTTCCTCACAGTGTTAATAAAGTAGTAAAACTTAATTTAAACAGGTTCATACTGAAGTAAGAAGTGTGACTGGCTGACAACAGCTGCTACTCCTACTCCAAAAATCATTTAGTGAGTTTCCCATTAATACTACAGGTCCGTGAATTCTGGAGCAAACACTGCCTGAGTGCCAGAAGAGTAACCTGTATATCTGTGTACAGATGGTCTGAGCAGGAGCAAGAGCCACAACGAGTGTTTTAATCTTAGGGGTTATAACTTTACCATGAGCCAGTTTATTTTGATTAGAGAAACTTAACGTCAACAAATTTATCACTTAGAGCAAAGTTGGATTTGGAGTTTTCAACTTACTGTCGTAGTGAGGAGAGTGAGTCCCCCTTAATACACACATACAGTACATGAACATTAAATCTTAGTTAAATAGACACAAAATACCACATGAGGAGCTTGGGAGTAAGCAGTGATGGCGTGGGGTTACAGTTGTACAGCAGCTGGACACTGCACGAGGATCAAATGGTCGACAAGGCCACGAGGACAGAAACACTGTCAGGATAACATTTCACCATGTACAGTCACCTGCATGTATTGTGTTAAACCCTCTGTCCGTATTTCTCCTTGTGAATGAGCAGAAGCTGGAGGAGCGTTTCCGTATAAACAGACGAGAGTTGGTTCCTCTGGAGTTCCCGGTGCTGGTTGCCTTGGAGATGGGACTCTACCTCCCTGAGAGCAAGGTCATGCCGCACTACCGCAAACTGGTGCAGCAGGGTTAGACCGCCTGTGGTAGTATCTGACACTCTGCTGGTTTCATTAATAACACCAGCAGGTGTGTGTGTGTGTGTGTGTGTGTGTGCGTGTGTGTGCGTGTGCTAAAGTAATATGGAATCTGAGTCACAGCTGACTGAGTGTGTGTGTGTGTGGTGGATCCACCAGTTCATAAGCTGTACTGTTGAAGACAAATAATTCTGGTACTATTTATTTCCCGTCGTGACGCGAGTCGCTCACTGTATGTGAAGAATGACTAGTTTACACTTATTGGCAGATATTATAGACTTGATGGCACATGCGTCTATCTGAATGTCTTTTTGTACCTGTGATGTTGATCCAGTCATGCGCTCTACGTTAGAGATGGTCTATCAGCACGTTAATTGTGCTTTTACTTTGGTTCCTCATGGCCCCTTTTCTGTGCAATGCTGTGATGTTAATGGAAAACGATTCACTTGCACCTTTCTCATTACTGCACAGCCTTTATTACAAATGACAAAGAACCATATTGTTGACTTTGTAAAAGTCTTTTAAATCCACTGTGACATTGAAGCTTTTTAGACTGATACATAAAAGCACTGAGTTTGTCAGTGTGGCGAGAAGGAAGCGGCCTTTAATTTGTTTGTACCGTATGTCCAGCAGTGGCAGCTCTGTGTCAAGACTTTGCTGTTGGTTGAGAAACTGTGCCAACTGTGCATGTGTCGTCACATGCAAGGAAACAGGATGATGGAGGCGAATTATTTATACCAAATGTGTTTTTCATGTCATTACCTAGGGAGGCGAATTATTTATACCAAATGTGTTTCATGTCATGTTTTTGTAAAATGCACTGGAGTTTATTCCTCAGTAGCCTGGCTAGTTGTCATGTTTCATTTCTCAGGAACTTGGCTTACTCGTACCTTTCAATAACTCAAAATCTAACCCAAAGTTTAAGAATTGTTACCGTAGCTATCAGTGCTCGAATCACTCGTGCTCCATTGTGAGTCACTGGAAAGTAACTGATTGTAGAGCGCTTACCCATGAGAAATCCAACCATTGTGACTCTTAAGTATATGAATGTGTGTATGAGTTGTTTCTCTACCAGATTGTATCAACCTGACTCCAGTCTTCAGATCTTTGTGCCATTAGGTGTACAAGTATGGAAAAAGTGCCTGAAACTACAGTGGCAGTGAAATGGTTAACCATCTTATCATAAGTGATATTTAATGTTGACATTTCTACTTCTTGCTGCTGTAGAAACCTTTAAATGTTGAGGTTGTTCTTGTCTGATAATCTTAATTTAGTCCTAGATGGTGATTCAGTTTTCTGGCTGCAGTGAACATGTATCAATACACATGTGCAGATAATGTATCCGTGTGGTTCGTGCCAAACTGGTAAATACTTGTTTTCATATTGTAAAATGATTGTTGTTGAAATATATTTTAAGTCACTGAAAGATCGTTGGCGTCTGAGTTTGTCACCCAATCAATAATTTACTGTGTGCACTGTAGTTTTCCTCTTCAGAGCGATGTGGGTGCTACAGAAGTGTTCTTGTTCACAAAGCAAGCTAGAAAACAAACATGTGAGTGTCATCGTTTTACTGTTCCCATGTGCTAGGACAGGATGGGCTGGTAGCTGACATGAAGGTAAAATACAGGTTCAGAAAAATCAGTATATATTAATTCAACACTGTCACAGGATGAGCACAACACTGTCAGCTGAGAGGGAGCCAGTCACACCTTCTACATTATCCACAGTCTTTATCCTTAATGTGGAATACTAAAACAGCAAAAGCAGCTAAATAAATACATTAAATAAGTAAGAATTCTTAGTCCAAACTCATGTCTTCATCGTCATCTTTCTTGTCTTTGGAGTCTTCGTCGTGGTCTGACTTGGTCTCTGTCTCCATGGCTTTGGCAAAAGCCTCCACATCTGCAAAGATAAATGTCCACATTTTAAAGCTGCAAATGATTATTTTCATTATCAGAAATGGGGGTGGGCGGCACAGTGGTGCTGTTGGCGAGAAGGTTCTGGGTTGAAGCCCTGGCCGACCCAGGGTGGAGTTTGCATGTTCTCCCTGGCGTGGGTTCTCTCCGGGTACTCCGGCTTCCTCCCACAGTCCAAAGACATGCAGCTTAGGTTGATTAAATTTCCCGTAGGAGTGTGTGTCAGTGAGTGTGGTTGTCTGTCTACATGTCAGCCCTGTGACAGACTGGCGACCTGTCCAGGGTGGACCCCGCCTCTCGCCCTGTGTCTGCTGGGATTGGCTCCAGCCCCCTGTGACCTTGTTCAGGATAAGCAGTACAGATCACAGATGGATGGACTGACACCGCTGGCATAAAGAATGGTGGAAGACATCCTCAGATCCTGTATCACAATGTTAAAATAATCCACTACAGGTAAAGGTCCTGCAGTCAAAATTTTAACTATGTATGTTAATTATTATCAGTAAAAACATCAAAAGTACTTGTGTAAAAAAAAAAAAAAAATCCTGTTATTATATATTTCAATAATTATTACTGGTCCATCAGTGTGTTAGCATTTATAATGCTTTAATCTCTTTATACTGTCGGGTACTTTATAACAATGTGGCAGGAGTCATTCCTT